TGAGTGTACACAGCTGATTGAAGTAAAGGGGGATGATGCAGCTGCCTGCCAGAGCAGAAAGATTCCTGAATTCTCTCCACTACAAAAAAAGTCCAGTGCGGAACCGAGATCATGGCCCCGAATGCCGTGCTCTCTAGGTAATGTGTGGGAGCTCCACAAACCAGGTTGAGCGGTCGGGTTGATGTCGTTGACGGTGTTGGCCTGCGCACTCGTGTGATGCGTGTAGGCAGCCTACATGCACATGTGAGTAACTGCGGCAGGGCGGAGCGACGCACCGGCAGGGCAGACGCCGGCAAAGAGACGAACAGTAGCGAAATAGCCTTGAGCATGGCCAGTCGATGTTCCCCGTCGGATGACTCCGGCCAAACCGCGGAAGCAGGTTTTTTGAGCTTAGCCTTCGATGGTTTTTTAGGTTTTTTTGAGCTTTTTTTGTTTGATATGAACACAAACGCAAGGCGTGACATGACACATCGCTCTCGGGCCCACAGACATCCCGCACACCCGCCGCCCCCCGCCCGCGCGCGCCTCACCCCGGCCGGGAGAAAGGGGAGTTGTTTTCGTGCTGAGCTGGTTTCCGCGTGCTTGATTGAGCACTTGAGCACTGGATAGGGTCGATTCCGCTTGGTACGGGACCCCTCGATCGTCTCGCCCTCCCTCACTGGAGTGTTCACGCGGGGGGGGGTCATAACAAACACGGTACATACAGGATCGAGGTGCACGCTGCCGAAGCAGTGTCGTCCCCTCGCTCCATCGATCGTCTCACTGAGGGACGTCGGCGGTGGTGGCGGAGTGACCGATCGAGCTACAAGAGGAGCTTGTTCAGCAGGATCCGGGATAGTCAGATGCACTACCTCACTGGGCCTGACTGAGATCACCACACGAGCCTCCCATCCATCACCTATCTCTTTATCTGCGACCTGGCGGCGCTTGTGGCCGAGCCCTCTCGCCCGCGTCGGATTCACCGGCCTGTCCTCGCCCTCTCGATCGCATCGGGATTGCGAGATCTCGGCCCTCCACGCCGCATTCCGCAAGGGCCATGCCGTCTAACAACACCCGTGCACGGTCCTCCCATCCCTGTCTCCACTTGGAGTCCAGTTTTCTCTTCCTTTCTTTCTGTACTGATCGGCGCGCGTGTTTGCTTCCTTTCCTTTCCTGGTTGGAGAGTTGCCTGGAGTTGGTAGTTCCACCTTACCAATACGCATACCCGCTGCGACGCGACTGGCGGGGGTTGCGGGGAGGCGAGCGCGGAGAGCCAGAGGCAGAGCGGCTGCAGAGCGGCTCGCAACCGTGGTGGCGGTGAGAGCACTAGTCCGCATTTAAGGTAAGGTAAGGTAAGGTAAACTTCTCCACACACACGAGGTGGTGGGGCAAGGGGGGGCAACCCTCGCGTCTCCACGTCTAACGACAGGAGCCCCACGGCATTCAAAGTGCAAGGCCCGGTGCGCGTGGGTGAGCGGCGTGTGTGTGTGTGTGTGTGTGTGTGTGTGTGTGTGTGTGTGTGTGTGTGTGTGTGTGTGTGTGTGTGTGTGTGTGTGTGTGTGTGTGTGTGTGTGTGTGTGTGTGTGTGTGTGTGTGTGTGTGTGTGTGTCACGTCACTGCATCCTCTGCCGGTTCCTCCCGTCGCCTCTTCTTTGTTCGAATGATTTTCAATCCATCCTTCACGAATCCCTCCCATGTAGCTAGCGTTCTTTGCGAATGTCTCGAAATGGCCAGCAGGCGCTGTCTGCTCGCGGCCTGTGCGGGCCGCTCGTCCTCCTCGCCCTTCTTTCGTCCTCCCGTCCCTCCCCTCCACCATGGCCTCCTCGGCACTTCTTTCTCCATCCGCCTCGCCCTGCCTTTTCGTATCGTGCCGTTCGCCCTCCATTCGGTGACCTCCATGGCTGTCCGCCTCCTTTTGGGTGGCGCTCTCGATACCGTTGCGTCAACCTCGACGTCGCTGTCGCCCTCCCCGTCCCCGCCGTCGCCCGTGCCTCGGTTTTCGCGTCATCGGTAGCGTCTCCGTTGTTCCCTCGTGCTCCGCCGTCGCCCTCTCTGCTCGGGCCGTTCGCGATTTCGCTCCTCCTACGTGTCGCCCCTCCGTCTCCTCCCCTGCCTTCGTCGTCATCGTCGCTGTCGCGAAAGCCCTCCGCGTCTGAACCACAGCGTGTCCCGCCGGTCCGTAGTTTCTCTTCTTATCCGTAAAATTCTCTTCTTATCCGTTACCATGTAGAGCAAGGTCGAGGGCGGGCCCTTTCGGGCTCGGGCCGCCCTCTCGCCCGCACGCCGCACCTCTGCGGGGCTTGCACGTGGCAGCGGCGGCTCAAGATCCCAGCGATCTCGAGTTCTTCACGCTATCCACTGCGCCGCGGCTTCGCCGCGCCCATCCAAGCCCAGGGCTTGGTTTGCTGATACCCGCATCTCGCTCTGCGCATCTCTGAGGCTACCGCGCGCCGACTGCTACGCGCGCGGCGAGAGGCGCACCCCATCGGGGACAGGATTGAGGCCCCTGTACAAGCTCGGCAACGCTGCCGTCGTTGCCCTCCCGAGCCCTCAACACGATGCCGCACATTGCGCAACCCGTTCTGCGCACATGCCGCAGGGAGGAGTTTTCACTCTTCCGTCTGAGTTTCTCCTTCCTGCAGGGCGAGAGACATCAGCCTCTCTACTTCCAGGGGAACATCTATGCCACACGCTATCCCTAGGACGGTCCACAACCCACACTCTCGCTGCAGTCGATCCCAGCCCTCGCACTCCCCACTGGAGATCTAGCCGAGGCCCCCAGGCTGGGACAGGATTGGAGCCCCTGTGCTGCGTCTGCGGTGATATGCTCCTCCCTATTCATGTGAGTCACTCGACTGCGTCGAGGGGGGGGACGTCTGAACCACAGCGTGTCCCGCCGGTCCGTAGTTTCTCTTCTTATCCGTTACCATGTAGAGCAAGGTCGAGGGCGGGCCCTTTTTCGGGCTCGGGCCGCCCTCTCGCCCGCACCTCTGCGGGGCTTGCACGCTCCGGTCCCTCGATTCCCTCGTCTATCCCCTCCGCTGCGTCGTCCCAGCTTATATCCTCATCCTCTGTGCGCGTTGTCGTTCCCTCCCCTTCTCCATCGTTGTCGCCTCCGTCGACTGTGGCGCTGCCTCTTCCCTCGCCTCCGTCCTCCTCGTCTCGCCTGCCATCGTCCCGTGTCTCCTCGTCCTCGCCCTCGCCTTGGCCGTATTTAGTCCCCACCCTGGCGATCCCGTGTCCGACTCTGCGTTAGGGTTTTCTTCTTGAGGAGCACTTGGAGCACTCCATCAGCGCCGGGGAGCTAAGATGCGCCGGCAGATTCGGGAGTGGCAGCCGCCGGTTTGACGCGCGCTTGGTCTCTGGCTCTTGACGAGGTTTGTGGGGCTCGGCACTCGCCGGTTTTTGCATTTTTGCATTGTCGGCGCTCTGCAGTTGCACTCTCATGTGCGCAGAGGGCAGTGTGTGCCGGTCTCGCTCTGCCTCTGGGCGCGAGCCGGAGCATTTCGAAGGTACTGCTGCATGACTAAAATGACTATCGCTACGTCGCGCACACGTGCGCGTCGCTGTGGCGAGACCCGAGACGGATGGGGTACCCAAACAGTTTGAAGTGCAGCGCCATTCGGCGTCCCCACAACCCGCGGTCACAAAATCTCGTCGTCCTCGTAGTAGCGCGTGGGCGCCGGCGCCGGGGAGACACTCTGCGCGCCGGCAGCGAGGCAGCGCTCTGCGCGAGGGCGCCCGGATCTCGCGGCGCGGATGTGCCGCCGCCGGCGGCAACCTCGTCCACGCTGTCCCACTTGAGGCCGCCCGAGGTGTGGACCATATCGCTCGAACTCGGGGGGCACGGCGAGGGTTTGCGACGGGTGCGGCTTCAGGGGCGGGAGAGGGGCGGCTGACGGGGCTGGCTGGGGCTGTAGCCGTTGGTGTAGCAGGTCCACAGTCGGCGTCGCTATCATCCTCCCTCCCGAAGTCCTGGCTGCCGCCTGTTGCTCCGTGTCCACTGGTACTGCTGTCGCCCCCCTCCGCGTTGCTTCCTCGTCGGGAGTGTCCGTGGGGAGGGCGATACACGTTAGCGGGAGCGGCAGTTGCTCATGGAGCTGGAGGGGCTGGGCCCGCCCTTTTCCAGGGCTCCAATGGCGTCTGGTTCCGCGCCGGCTTCTGAAAGGGCAAGCCCGTGGCCCTCCGCATGTCGTCCGCGTCCATCACCGGCTTCGAGAACGTGATCAAGCAGGGCGGCAGCAAGAAGCGCAACCGTCCCTATGTCGCCAAGTTCAAGCGGGTCGGCGAGAAGACTCAGCGCCACCTGCCCGACTCGAACAGCGCGACAGCCGAGGAGGCGGCCGCCAAGCTGGCCTACTACCACGAGTACGGGTCGGAGCTGCCGCCGCCTGCAGCTCGCCAGCCTCGCCGCTCCCCGGAGGTGCGCTCCTGAGCCCGCACCCATCCTGGCTGCGCTCAGTCCTCCTTCCCTGGGCTGTAGGAGATGGCGGCAGAGCGGGCGGTCAAGGAGGCGCGCAAGCAGGCCAGGCGGCCGCAGAGGCCGCCGCTCACACCCGCGCGCCGGCGCAGCCTCCACAGTCTCCTCTCACGGGTCCCGGTGTGCCGTGTGTGTGCCGGTAGTCCCTCTCCCCATGGACTACCACCCCCGCGATGACTGGTGGCCCGCGTGGGTGGAGCCCGCGGCAGCTAGGCCGCCTGGGCGCGGGGGGGGGCGGTCCGGTGCTTCAGAGGCAGCGTGAGCGACGGGGGGGGCGAAGGATGTGAGGCGGCTCGCCTGCAGCGCCCACCTGCTGGGCCGTCTGGACCAGAGCGAATGCACCTTCGGGACCATCGAGCTCGTGCATAAAATGTTCACACAAGTCATCCCAATGGCCTCAAAAAGTCGTTGTCAGCCTCCGATTTTCCGTGTCGCCCGACCCGCCACCTCACCGGCCCGGCGTTCGGAGGCATAAAATCTTGGTCGGCCGTTGTGATGCGTCAACTTCAAGTTCCGGAACGACTCAACAGGGCCCAAAGACGGGGGAGCGACCGGCCTATCTTTGGTTCCGCGCTGAGCCCGTTCCGATCCCCCCCCCCCCCCCGTCAGCCCGCTGCCTTTAAAGGCTTTCCGGCCATTTCGCTCTCGTCGCCTACGCTCCTGGTCTCCTCCTTCGCCTCTCCCGCCTCGAGCAGCCGCTCCGTCTCGGCGGGCGGGGGCGGTGCCGCAATCTTGAGGGCGATGTTCATGTAGCAGTACGTCGTCGTGAGGACGATGACGACGCCGAGCCACGAGTGCACGTTCGTGGAGAGCTGGAAGAAGGTGGCGGAGACGACGACGAGGATGGCCATGACGGACGAGTTCGCAAAGTTCTTGACGATGGCGTCGGCGTACTTGTACACAAAGGCGACCGCGATCCCGTGGAAGGCCTGGAAGATGACGAGCGCGATCGCGAGCGGCGTGTACCCTTCCAGGAAGCCCTTGGTCTCGGGGTGCCTGCGGCGGCGGGGTGGCGGCGGCGAGTTGAGGCGCGGCGCGCGGCGGCCGCGGACGAGAGGGAGGGGGCGCAGCGCACTTCTTGTCGAAGCAGGACTGCACGTACAGAACCACGGCGATGAGGGAGCCGAAGGTGTACAGGATCATGTTTTGGAGGTTGACGGGCACCGAGAAGCCCTTGATAATGAGCTGGTTCCACACCTGCGGGCCGACGGCGCTGCCGGGGTCGGGCCGCCACGGGCTCCGCGGGCAGCCGCGAGCGGTCGTCGGGCCGAGCGCGCGGCGGCGGGGCCGAGGTGAGCAAAAGCGCACGGAGGTGACGGCCGTGATGGACACCGCGAGCGCGAGGAGGTAGTACGCCTGACAGCGCCGGCGGGGGAGGGGCGGTCGGCGCGGTGCGGCAGGTCGTGCGCGGTCGGGCGTCGGGGGAGCGCCGCCTTGGCCGGAAGCACGCCGCCGCCCTTGCACACGTCGTACTGCACGATGGCAATGGCGCAGCACTGGATGACGATGCACACCCACTGCAGCCCGGACATGGCCTGCCCGCTGAGGCGGAGCAGCAGAGCGCACAGGTAGGGCGCGACGCTCTTCCCCAGCGACATGGTTCCCGGATCCGCCACCGCCAGCACCCAGAACGAGAGAGTGTTGTTGAGCGTGTAGAGCAGCGCGAGGCCGAGGTAGTGCAGCACGATCTTCGGGCTGAGCGCCTCGAAGTAGGGCCGGCCCGATGAGGCGCGCTCGCGCTGGTGCAGCGTGGCGGCCATCCCGAGCTTGCACAGCTCTGTCAGAGCGACGCTCGACGCCGGAGAGAAGGTGTACTGGCCGTTGACCTGGCACACCTTGAAGAGGAGCATCGCGACGGACTGGATGACGACCAGCGTGAGGAAGGAGCCGAGCTGCTGCGCGTACAGCGCGGCCGAGCTACCCTCCGCCATTTTGGGAAACTTAGGCCATAAAAAGAATTTTATGCAAGTCCCTCGCAGGACACCGATACGTCCTCCCATCCCTCCCTTGGGTTGTCTGTTTTCTTTCTTTCTTTACCGATAGGGACCGGCAGGAGGCGGCGGCGCCGCAGAACGAAGCAGAGGAGAGCGACGCGACAGAAGAAGAAGAGACAAGGGAAAGAACGACGAGAAGGGGGCGACCGCGAGGTGGCATGAAGGTCGCAGCGAGAATCTGCGAGAGACTGCGAAGAGAGATAGGAAGAGGCGGACGCCCAAGGGTGGGCGACGGCTAGCGCACCACACCCCTCTCCTTAAAATCCCTGTGTGGTGGCGGCGTGCCGTCCTCCCATCCCTCCCTTGGGTTGTCCGTTTTCTTTCTTTCTTTACCGGGTACGGTACCACAGCTGAAGGGAGACGAGAGATACAAATACCTCGGAACGGAGCTAAGGACCGGGTGGGCAAACGGCGAGGGCCAGACCCCCCCTCCCCCGCGCCCATTCCCTGCCCTCTCCCGCCACACACTCCGTCAGAGCCCCCTCCCCTCTTGCACAACAGGAATTTTGACAATTAACCTTTGATGGGCTTGCCCATCCCGGAGTGGTTCGATCCCACGCAAACCCGAGACGGTGACGGGTGTTGTCTCGATGATCTCAGGCCCAGTGTGCAGTGAGGTAGTGCGTCAGACTATCCCGGATCCTGCTGAACAAGCTCCTCTTGTAGCTCGATCGGTCACACCGCCATCGCCGTCGGGGAGAGGGGGTCGCTCGGTACGTTCGGTGTGGCTCACCCTCCATGCCGTGAACAGGCGCTTTATCCACCCTATATTCTTCTCTCGTTCCTCTGCCCTTGCCTTGGTCTTGTCGTTGTTTCGCACCCATGTCTGTATGGCAATCGAGGCTGCCTTCCCCACTACCTGAAGTTCACTCGTCACCTCTCCCGCGAGCTCCCTTCTCTTTCTTTCGGGTATGGAGTCCGTGAGTGCGGGTAGCGTGCAGGCAATCACGGGTGCTATTTTGTCGTACTCCTCTTCGGCGAGCGCCCCAAATCTAGACCCTTTCGCCTTTAAGGAGGCTGCCCTCGCTCGTCTCAGGAATGTGGCGGTGTCTTTTGAGTCCGGCGCCTCCCGTTCAACTCTTGCTGTCGCCCTCGCTGTGTGTTTGTCGAGCTTCCGCATGAAGTGACGCGCCTCTTCCTTATTTCCAGCGCAGCTGCCGCTCAGTATGTGCGCCAACGACGCCTGTGGTGGCTCATTGTCTTCTTGTTTCCAGTCGTCCCAGTCTTTCAGTTCCCCGCGTCTCCTCCTTGCCTCGCGCGCCTCTTTTGCGACCTCATCCCTAGCCGCTTTGCACGCTCTGCATCCCCAGAACGCACTTCTCGTGGCGGGGCCCCTCATTCCCCGTTTCTTTTCCCCCTCTAGAATACGCCTGTGCCACCACACAAGCCATAGAAGAAGAGTGGCGCATGAATTCTTCTTGGCTTGGAGCGAAGGCAGGTCTTCACGCTGTTGCCAACGGCGCCCCGCCGACGCGGTATGCAGGACGTGGAGAGTCGCTCCCTATCGATGCTCAGGCGGAGCCCCGCGCTCCACACCGGCTCGCTCATCGCGGCCAACGGCCGCTTCGCCTGTTACGCCATCCCGTCGGGCGTGATCCGAGTGATCGACCGGCAGACAGAGGCGCTCGGCCTGCTGCGCGGGCACACGCGCGAGGTGAGAGCGCGCCGCCGCCATCGGGCTCCGCCCGCCCAGTTCGCCACACCGACGCCCGACCACCGCCTCCGCAAACTCAGGCGGTCGACCTCAGCATCACCGCCGGCGGCGGCGACGAGTGCCTCCTCGCGGCCGTCGCCAACGACGGCCAGGCGCTCGTGTGGCGGGTGCGCGCGGGCGGGTCGGCCGTGCAGTCGGAGCGGCTCCTCTCGGTCAAGGTCGACGGCACCTCGCCCGGCGCGGACGATCGCATCGTGCTCTGCCCGCAAGGCGCGCCGCCGCCCGCTCCGCCGCCGCCAACGCCGACGCCGCCGACGCCGCGCCTACACCGCCGCCGCCGCCGCCGCCGCTGCCCTCCACCCGCCTCCGCCCTCACCCGCCACGCGCGCCCGATGGCCACACACGCACACAGCCACACGCCTCACCGCCGCGCGCGTCGCCGCCAGGCGGGCCGCCAGGAGGGCCGCCGCTCGTTGCCGCGATCCTCAACGGCAGCGCGATGCTGTGGGACGCCCCCTCGGGCGGCGAGGCCGCGCCGCCGGGCCCACCTTCGCCGCTGGGGTGCGGCGCTGCCGCCGCCGTGGCGCTCGCCGCCGCGCCCGCCGGGAGCGGGGAGGCGGTGGTTGCCGTCGGCGCCGCGTCAGGAGACGTGGCGCTCCGGCTCTGTCGGCCGGGCGGCGGCGAGGTGTCTGCGGCGCCGCTGCTCTTCACGGCGCACGGCGGCGCGGTGAGCGGGCTCGCGCTGCTCGAGCCGGAGGGCGCGGGCGAGGGCGCGCGCCTCCTGCTCACTCTTGGCGAGGAGAACCGCGAGGTTTCGCCCCGGCGCGCGGGCAAACCGCGGCTGAGTCGTGAGCCGTCAGCAGCGGTCGCATGGAGTGACTAGGTCAAGCTCTGGCGCGCAGACCTCCGCGCCGGCAGCGCTGCCTGCGAGCGGGCGCGCGCCCACCGACGCCCGCGCCGCCCGCCCTCTCGGCGCCCCTCCCGCCCGTCCCGCCCACCCTCGCCGCCGCCGCAGGTGCTCTCGATCGACGCTCCTCCCTCGCCGCCGCTGCTCGCCGCCCTCGAGCCGCGCACCCGCACGTTGCTGCTCGTCTCGGCGGCCTCGAGCACCGACGCCTCCGGCCCTGCACTCCTCCCACCTCCTCCCACACCTCACGCACCGAACAGGCGGCTTGCGACCCCGCCAACGGACCGATGGCTGTCGCCGCATCGACCATCACCGCCTACGCGATCGGCGGCGGAGCCGCGCCGGCGTTCGCGCCGCCCGCCCGCTTCAACGCAAGCGCGGGCGTGCTCTCCTTCTCGCCGATCGTCGCACCCGGCCCGGACGCCGCCCTCGACTTGCAGCTCCTCTGCGTCATGCTCGACGGAGTGCAGTGCCTCACCATCGCAGCGCACCAGCTCCCGGCTCCGCCCGCGCCGGCCGCCGCTGCGCACCAGCTCGCGGCACCGCCGACCGCGGCCGCCGCCGCTGCGCCGTCGCCGCCGGCCGCCGCTGCGCCGTCGCCGCCGCCGGCCGTCGCAGCCGCGAGCGCCGCCAGCTTCCCTCGGCCGCCGGCGATGCCGCCGCCGCCGCCCTCGGCCGCCTTGCTGGCGCGCGATCAGCCGAGATCAGCCGAGGCGCGCGCCCGCGCCGCCGCCGCCGACGCGCCGCCTCTCCCGTCCCTACAGGCGGACCTCGCTTCCGGCGTGAGCCCGGTCCCGGTCACCGCCAACCACTCGCCCTCGCTCCCGCCGCCGGCGCAGACACCGCCGACGGCGCCGCCCGCCGCGCCGCCCGCGTGCTCGCCCGCCGACACGCGACTGCTCGAGCTGTCCCGTGCGTGGCCGCCGCCCGTGCCGCCGCGCAGGCGAGCGTGCTCTCACCGGCGGAGCCGTCGGCCCGCCTGCTGTACAGGTGCGGTCGAGCAGCTCGCCGTGACGCAGCGGGCGGGCCTCTCCCAGGTCGCGCAGCAGCTGGCGAGCCGCACGGACGCCTCGATCGAGGCGCTCGGCCGGCAGGCATGATTCGTTACAATCACGCTGGGACCGCTCCCCACAGTCCCACCACGATTCTAAGGACTTTTGCACCAGGTACTGATTGGGCTCGAGCGGTCCCAGTCCGCGAGCGTGTCTCTGCTGCAGCAGCTGGTCGCCGAGCAGCGGCAGGCGGAGGGGCTAGCCGAGATCTCGCCGAGCAGAACGGGGGGGAAGCGTTCTTCCCGGCCCGCCCCCGCCCCCCGGACCCTTCCCAGACCGTTCCCAGAGCCTTCTCGGAGCCTTCCTGCAGGCGGAGGCGCTGCGCGCGCAAGAGAGGCAGGCGTTGCTTGTTGCGGTGCGCGAGTCGTCGGCCGCCGCGGCGCGCGGAGCGCTGCAGGAGCTGCTGCCGCTCGTGCAAGCCGCGGTCGACGCGTCCGTCCGCGCCGCCGACACGCCCCGCGGAGTCGACTCCGCGAGCCTCGCCGCGGCGCTCGAGGCGACGCTGCCGGCCGCGCTTTCCTCGCCGGTGGCGGATTCGCTCGCGCCGGCGCTCGAGGCGTCGCTGCGCGCGTCGCTGCTCCCGCCGATGGAGCAGGCGACCTGCGGCCGCCGCCGCGGCCGCATCTCGGCCGCATCCCCGAGTTTGCCTCGGCCCCGTCTCGGCCCCGTCTCGGCCCCGTCTCGGCCCCGTCTCGGCCCCGTCTCGGCCCCGTGTGCTGCCGAGCCGCTGCCGTTTGGCGGAGCCTAGGCGGCCGAGCGCGGCCTCGCGCGGCTGTCGGAGGAGGCGGCGTCGGTGCCGGCGGCGGTGGCGGCGCGGCTGGGTGCGGAGGCGGAGGAGGCGCTGCACGCCGCTTTCGCCGGCACCCTCCTCCCGGGCTACCAGCGCGCGTCGACACAGATGTTCGAGCAGCTCCACGCGGCCTTCACGAGCGGCACAGAGCGGGTCACGAGCGCGCTCTCGGCCGAGGCTCCGCCCCGCCGCGTGCCCGCCCCGCGGCCCGGGAGGAGCCCCTGCTCTGAGCCGGCCCTGGGCCACTCCCGCAGGTGTCGCCCGTCGCGACGCAGCTCGCAGCCACCGCCGAGCCGCTCGCCTCCATCGAGGCGCGGCTCGGCCAGCTGCTCGCCGACGTCCAAGCAGCAGCCTCGAGCGCCGCAGCTGCCTCCACCGCCGCCGAAGAGGCGGCGCAGTCCGCCGCCGCCGCCGCCGCGTCCGCCGCCGCCGCGTCCGCGTCCGCCGCGCTTCCGCCGACGCGCGCCTCCCCCGCCATCGGCCGCGCGCCGCCGCCGCCGCCGACGGACGCGCCGCCCGCGCCCGCGCCGCCGGCCGCCAAGCGGTCGGTCTTCGACTCGCCCGGGAACCTCGGGCGGGGCGCGGGCGGGAACGCGGCCGGCGGCGCCGCAAAGGACTCGGGCGGCGAGATGTTCAAGTCGTTCAAGGCGAGGGGGGAGCCGCGCGCGCCCAACCTCGGCTGACCTCGCGCGATCTGCAGTGATCTCGAGGCGATCTCCCCCAGGCGACGATGGAGCTGCAGCAGCTGCTCGGCCGTGGGGAGCACGAGAAGGCCTTCGCGACCGCGCTGCACGCCCAGTTGCTCGAGCTCCTCTCCTGGCTCTGCTCCAAGGCTCCGCCGCCCCCGCCGCCACACGCACACACACACCACTGCCCACACTCTCGCCGCGCCTCGCCGACCCCCGCACGCCCACCTCGCCCACCGCAGGTCGACCCGTCGGAGCTGCTCGCCGCGCGGCCGTCGCAGATCCTCCTCACGTCGCTCGTGCAGCAGCTCGCCTTTGACTTGGGCGCGCGGCGGCGGCCCCGCCGAGGCGCCACACGCGCCCCTCCTCCCACCCCGCTGGCCCCTCCCGCCACCCCCCCCCAAAGGCGCGTCGACGAGCATGAAGCTCAAGTGGCTGCTGGCCACGCTCCCGCGCCTCGACCCGCACGACCCGCAGATCGCCTCGCACGTGCCGAAGATCCTCGAGCAGGTGGCCGCCAACCTGGCGGGCTGCACCGACGTCCTCGGCAACGCGGGCCACCCGTGCCACGCGACGCTGCTCGCCGTGAGCGCTATGGTGTCGCAGTTGGCCCGCTGAAAGCCAGACGGGAGGGAGGGGGGGGGTATGGGGGCTCGGACCGCGCAGCTCGAATACGGCGCTCGCTCGTCAGAGTCGGCTGGGGCGCGTCGTTCACTGACTCGATCCTAATACCTTGACGGACGTGGGCACTCGTGGTCTCGGCTCGAGAGGTCGTCATACCGCAAAAGCACACAGCACGTACTCAGTGGCCTAGAGTATTTCCCGGCAAAAGAAAGCAGGGCCGCGGCGCGGTGCGCACTCCCACTCGTGCGGCCTCGCTGGGCAGTCGACGTGGCGCGGCAGGGTGCGCACGAGACTGGAATCTGATAGCTACATGTATCTCATGAATGTACGTAAACGTATGCTAATCGGAGATAGCCGCGCAGCGGCTATGTAGGTTATCCGACAACGCGAGGAGAGGGACCGACAAACTCAACCCACCGTGAGGGGGGAACCGTGACTCAATCGTCACCAAACTATTACGTTCCGCGCGCGCGCTGGAACGAGCGTTTGTCGGACCCTCGCGCTTCTAGGCGCCCGAGTCCTGTTCTCGTCTGCACGATAGAGATGGCTCAAGACCCAAAGTATGCGATCACCATTCCAAGCGAGGCCGGCACCGACGCGTCTCGTCGCACCGCGCTTGGCCAGACGGTCGAGGGAGCGATCCGAGTGTCCGCAGGGCACTGGCTCCAGGTCGTGCTGAAGCCGGGATACTTCACGCAAGTGGGACAGATGTACGAGATAACGATGCACAAGGTCGAGTATGTCCTCTGGCCGGCGATTGTCGCGCTCGGCGAGGACATCGATAATGTGACGTGGTACATAAAGCACAGCCGCCTCACAGCGCTCGTCAAGGATCTGTGTGAGACCGCCGGCCTGGGCTTCGAGACCACGGGCATGAGCCTAGAAGAGGCGCAGGCAGCAGTGGAAAAGGCAGCGCCCGCGCTGACGCTGCAGCAGCGCACGCTGACGGCAGCACAGGTCCACCGGTACGCCAACCCCAACACCGCCACATGGGCGGATCACATGACCATCGAAAGGCTCATGGACAGCGACGGAGGACTGGTCCCTGTTTTCCAACTACGCCAGATGATCCCGGGCGTCTGGGCGGAGAACCAATGGACGGGAGACACCTTCACAAGTGCTGTCGAGGCAATGGTGCCAGACAACGCGGCCGGCAGGTCCGCACGAGGGCAGGTAGCCGCCGTGAGGCAGTTCCTGCACGAAACCGCAGTCCGCCACGCGGACCTGGCACACTACATCCCGTCGGGGAAGGTGGAAGACGAGATCGAGCGGCGCAAGAACGGCGACAAGATCGACTCCCTGGTCGCGCTGACATGGCCACAGGCGTTCCCCGTCTTGAAGAAGGTGTTTGCGACCACCACACCCGGATACAGTGTGGTGAGGAAGCTCAAAGAGGCGGCGACGGCGCTCGGACTGGGCAGCACGACCTCCATGACGTACGAGCAGATAAAGAACCTATGCTCGAAGCTTGCCCCTTCCACGGCTGCCCTGGACGACAACCCGGCAGACGTGGACGGTAACGAGGACAGGCTCAGCAAGGCCGTCGAAAGCGCAAAGTCACTCGCAGCGCCCGCCCGGCAGCCAGGGGCCGCGGCGTCAGTCGGACAAGCGGGACTGAGACAGAGGCGCAGTTTGCAGATGTGGCAAGCGACGCAAACTATATCAAGCTCGCCAGGTTGATGGAGCCGTTCACCACCAGCATCGGGTCGGGAACGGACGAGAAGAAGAAGGCGCTGACCGCACTGCTGAAAGACCAGAGCGCCGCCGGCGTCTACTTTGTGCTCAAAACAACGAAGACGTTGGACTCGCAGGCGCCGTTCAAGAGCCTCACGGGCCTAAAGATCAGCTCGGGGACAGAAGTGCTACACAGCAGGTGTATAACGACGCCCTCTCCCTCGACGGTGACGGAAAGAAGGTGCAGTGGGGCTTGCTCATCACCGCCGCCGATGCAGCAAAGCTCGTCAAGGGCCAAGTCGAGTGCAGCAAGGGCAGCGACGGAGTCGACTGGTGGTCCCTCCTGCGAAACACGATAATCCGGCGAGATGGCCAACAGGCCGTCGACAATGTGGAGACGGACAAGACGGGCGATCCCACCTGGATCTTCTCCAACCCGAGAGCGATGGAGCTCATGCTCCCGCCCATGTGGGAGATTTTCAAGCTGATTGGCTACAGCTCCACAAGGACGGGCGGCTTCTATACCACCTGGAAGAATATGACCAGTCGAACAAAGCAGGTGCTCGATCTGCCCACCGCGGATGCGAGGAGCAGAGGCGTGTGGCGCAGCCACGTCGAGGCGTGTGCCGCGATTCTCAAGGCCTTTGCCAACGAGTTCAAAGCGATGCTCAACAACCCGTTGACCATCGCAGTCGCCGGCGGGAAGCCTGCAAACTTCTACTCCGGCGATAGCACCGCGGGGACCCTCTGGAACCAGGTATATGATGACATCAAAGTCATCAAAAGCGACGCGGAGAAGGAGACGCGGGGTATGACCAAGCGCTACCTGCAGGAGGGCTCGCCGCCCGGCTACAGCCAGGCCTATCCCTACGGCGGCCCGAACGCCGATGTCGCCACAGCCGCCCGACGACAGGACGGCGCGGAGGCGGGCCGCTACGGAGACGGCCAACCAGCTCGCGAACGACGACTCGCCATACGCCATCTGCCCAGGAGAGCCAGACAGGGTGCGGGAGATGGTACTCGACGCCTGCAAAAAGCGCGACAGTAGCGTCCCCGCCGGCTCCGCCAAGACCGAGGCGTGGGGCTTCGCCTGGATGGCGCGCTTCGGCAGGGCGCACAACACCCCTTGGATGCGACCCCGGCGGGGCGCGCTGGTAAACGAGACCCTGGAGACATGGTTCGTGGCCTTTGCCATCCTCTGGCTCTGCGTGATGATGCAGCCATCGGCCCGCACTAAGGCGCGCGGCTTCGACAAGGCGAAGCCCGACTCCGCGCTCGGGGCGGTGTACGGATGGAGGCGAGTCCTCCATGCTTGCGGACGATACCTCGCGCCGATGGATTCTGCGCTCGCCGTTCTAAAGGCGATGAAGTCCGACTACATCGCGGAGTACGGGGACCTCGCGTTGACGGCGCAGCGAGGACAGCCGCTCAGCCTCGCCCAGACAGCCGCCATCAGCGCCGCCCTCGCCGAGGGCGTGGCGGGGTGGCTGTGCGCGACGAACGCGTGCTTCACGGTCATGGTCGCCTTCCTCCACTCCTCGGGCACGCGGAACGACGAGGTCGTCGCTCTACGGAGGAGCAACTTCACCCTCGTCATCGACGGCGCCGAGCTCCCCGCCACCACCGCTAACCTGCGCCGCATGCGCAACGGGTGCTATGTCAAGGGCAAATCAACTTGCTCTAAGTGCGACAGGCACAACACCTTCTGGGGCTCGCGAGACATGTGGTTCCGGTACGACGACGCGGCCGCCAACAACTTCGCATCCAAGTGGGTCGCGTGGGAGCTCGCCTACCCGTGCCCGGTGGAGCAGAGGGGCGAGTGGCCCGCCTTCTCCGAGAAGGGGGACAACGAGCACATGACGACGCGCCGATCGGCGGCGCTCCACAAGCAGCTCACCATCCAGGCGCTAGGGCAGACTCTGGGCGCGAGGGTCACCATCCACTGGTGGCGCGTCACGCTCGCGACTGCGCTCTTTGCAAAGGGCAAACCGCCCGGCGAGATCCAGGCGCTCGTGCGCTGGAAGACGGAGGAGGCGATGCGGATCTACGCGCGCATCCGCCCCTCCGCCTACGCGGACGCGGTAGAGGGCGCCATCGCCACCGACGCGGGGCCTCACGCGGGGGCGTTCGACGAGGCGGAGATCGAGATCGACCCCCGCAACGCCATCGCCCGGCTCGAGGAGGCCGTAACCCACCTCGACGCGGACGCGAAGGAGGCGAAGCGCAAGGGGAAGGCGAGGGAGCAGCCCTCCGCCGACCCCGCACCGGAGCAGGGGAGCTTCGACGTCGGCGAGAACGCCGACGTCGCAGCCTCGCTGAGCGACGCCCGCGGCCTCGTCGGGAACGACGTGAGCATGCCAGACAAGTGCTGGCCCGGCGAGACCGGCACAGGCTCGACGCGCTGCACCGTCGTCGCCTTTGCCGAGGACCGCGGGAAATACGTACTGCGCATCTCGCGCGGAGACTGGGAGGGGCAGCACTACCTGTTTGCGTACGACCAGATAGAGCGGCACCTCGCCAAAGCGCTGCGCGGAAAGCTCGCAAAGCAGCGCCCGCAGCAGCAGCCGCGTGGCAAGCGGCCACGCCAGCCCGGGTCGGCTTCGGCCGACACCCTCCGACCGGGCAACGACCCCAACTAGTCGATGGGCCTGGTTGAGACTCTCTGGGATCGACTTCCCCGGCGATCGGCGCGATGGGCCTTATTTGGGCGCCGACGCTCGGGGTCGTCTGGCGACGGCACCGGGAGCTCGAGACGCAGCTCTCGGGGCCAGCCAACCCAGGAGTCGATTTTAGGACCAATCTCAATAACAATCTATATCAGCATGAACAACGGGGACTCGGACGCGATGGATAATCGGAGATAGCCGCGCAGCGGCTATGTAGGTTATCCGACAACGCGAGGAGAGGGACCGACAAACTCAACCCACCGTGAGGGGGGAACCGTGACTCAATCGTCACCAAACTATTACGTTCCGCGCGCGCGCTGGAACGAGCGTTTGTCGGACCCTCGCGCTTCTAGGCGCCCGAGTCCTGTTCTCGTCTGCCCCACCCTCCACTTCCCTGGCAGACGTGTTGTAATGTGTCTGTGTGTGTGTGAGCGTCGGGCCTTATTTGGGCGCCGACGCTCGGGGTCGTCTGGCGACGGCACCGGGAGCTCGAGACGCAGCTCTCGGGGCCAGCCAACCCAGGAGTCGATTTTAGGACCAATCTCAATAACAATCTATATCAGCATGAACAACGGGGACTCGGACGCGATGGATAAAAAAGTGTGACAAGTGACATAAAGCCGTACCGCGGTACCGTTTTCCTGGGCCGGGCTCGACACCGAACGCCCGAGGAAGTCTATCTATTTGTTGGATAGAGCTATCTCTACCCTCCGAGAGGCGCCCGCCCGCTCTGCGCATGGGCGAGGCTCCGCCGCCCTCGGCTGGCAGGCTCGCCGACAGCAGGAGCGCGTCCTCACCATCCCGGTAATAGCGCGGCCGGCGGCCGGCGACTGTGAGGCCGCACCTGCCGTACAGCCGGAGAGCCGCCTCGTTGCCCAAGCGCACCTCGAGGAGGAAGCGCGCAGCGCCTGCCGCCTGCGCGCGCGCCATGCTCTCGCAGACCAGCGCCGACGGCGAGCGATGTGAGTGACGCCTCGTCGAGCACTGTCGAGGTGAAACACATGCCCACCAGCGCCTCGTCCCCAGAATCGCCCACCGTCCACGCGCCCAGTGCGGCCGTTCGCGGACTGCGCATCTCCTCAAACTGTGCCTTCAGGTACGTTTACTGGAATAACACGGCGGACTTCGACTTGCACGCTTCGGGAAGTACAGCTGCGCCTGAAGCAGCGCAAATGGCCTCGAGCAGCGCATGCTGGTAGCGCTCCCTGCCAGCAAACCGGCAGTCGAAAAAGTGAGAGAAGAGCTGGCCGTTGATCCACACGACCGGCAGCCCAGCGAGCCCGTAACGGGGCTCGACAGAGTCGGACTTGTCGGCGTCGCCTTGCATGAGCTGTACTCCTTCTGCCCCCCGCCAGCAGGTCGTTATCGTTGTCCAGTTTACCGTCAAGTTCTGGGCGCAGATCTGCTCGCGTGCCAAGTTCTTCGGCTGGCCGATGTCAAACTGGTACTTGCAGCCAAGGACGTCAGGCCGGCTGCCGCCGCACGGTCCCGAGATGCAGTTTGTGAACTCGAGCCATACTTTCGGGTAATACGCTTGGACGCAGCGCTGGAGAGTGTCGGCCACACACTCGCTCTTGGTATGCATGCAGCTTGCGTCGGCCCCCGCGGATGGGTTGCAGCAGGCCTGCGTGCCATTTTTCTTGGCGTCGAAGAAACGTGAGAGCGTCGCAATCTCACCAATCTTTGGGAGCATGTCGTTTTGCCACCCGGCTTCCCACGCGCCGGCGCAAGGGCAGTAACTCTCCGCCATGATCTCAACAGACACGCGGTCGGCCGTGGACATGGCGACAACGAGGCTCGTCGTGAAGCAGAGCATCAACGCGGGATTCGACCTTTTTACGGGGTAAGGTATGGTCGCGCCAAAAGGGTGGGGGGGTATGGTCCTGGCCGCCGGAGGCGGCCTGCTCGACGGGTGGGCGGGTATGGTCAATCGCTGGAGCCGCCGTACCGCCCACGTTACAACAGTACACGCCGCGCTCGCACCGGCCGCGCCCGCGCCTGCGCCCGCGCCTGCGCCGGCACGCAAGGCCCTGGCGGCCTTTGCGGACACGCTCTGAGGGGTGAGCACGATTGCCGGCGGGTCACCTCGCGCAGACTGCATCGCGCGAACCCGTGCCGCACGACCGGACGGCCTAACACGACGGTTACTGTACGCGCTCGTGTGGTGGGGTGGGGGGTGGGGGGGTATGGTCCTGCTGGCCAGAGTCCTGTGCGGGTGGGGGGGTATGGTCGCGGCGCCAGGGCCGGGACCCCACCATACCCTACCCCCTAAAAATCTCGAATCCAGCTCGCAGCAGGATCAAAAAGAATTTTACGACAAAAAGAATTTTTTAGTTCAAAACGGTCCGTACGGCGCATGTGCGAGCGAGGGAAGCCGCGGGGGTCGTGGTTTAATCCGGTTTTGGGGGGGGGGGGGGGGGCGGGGGAGCCCCCGGGGGTTCTATAAGGAGAGCGCGCGTGGGGCAGTCAGAGACAGCCGGGCACCGCTCCTCGGCTCGCATGTGCATCTCTCTATGAATCAAAGGTATGAATCGCTTTTACTCGTATACACAATACACCCCGACCGACACACACAGCGTGAATGCCGTGGGGCTCCTGTCGTTAGACGTGGAGACGCGAGGGTTGCCCCCCCTGCCCCACCACCTCGTGTGTGGAGAAGTTTACCTTACCTTACCTTACCTTACGGGGTGTGGACCCTGAGTTGACCAGGGGTTGTGCGCTGGGCCCTCCTGGTCCTGCTCGGCTCCAGCCAGTAGACAAGTCTTGTCATCAACAGAGTAGAAGGATCTGACCTCGGGGCCGATGTGACCAAGCGCTGGTAGCGTGGTTTAACCTCAAACCCATGGTCTCACAGTGTGCCGGCAGTCGCCGAGCAGTGTCGCTCACACAAGCCGCAGCACAAGTGACTGAGGGCCAGTGAGGGCGAGCCCATCGCTGTCACAGCTGTGGCAGCCGCACAATAGGCTGTGTCAACTGTGCAGAGTGTGTGAGCAGCAGAGGAGCTGCTCTCCAGGCTTCTGTCGCAAAGAGCTGCATGCCACCGAAAGCGCTGTCGAGGTTCGCCGAGCGCGGCGCAGGTTGAGGGAAGCCGCCACCGACGAGCGCGTTGGACTTTTCACTCCGGACAAAGACGGGTACACGCACACGAGCCGCGGTTACCCTGACAGCGACGCGCGCGGCGCACAGTCACGCCCCACGTCACCCCGACACGCGCGGCTAAGCCACGCGCGTTTCTCTCCGGCACCTTTTCGAACACTCCGCAGCCACTAGCACTGCCGAGTCAGAGACACATCCCTCATCCGCGACATACCCGCCTCTGCCCACTACTTCATGCGTACATACACACGGAGACAGAGGCCACATGATCGCTTTTGACCTGCTCACAGCTTCAGCTTGGGAGGCGAACCCGCTTTGCCCCAGGTCGCAGTGAGTGGCGGTGATCCGCCCGCCGTGCGCCAGTTGTACTGCGGCGATCCATGACTCCTTCTCGGAGAGCTTGGCGGTGTTGCGACTGCGACTGCGGGCGGTGTGCTGGGCGGAGCGTGCTCTGGAGGAAGCAGTCCGCCGAGGGAGGCGAGAGGCACGGTGGGCTTGGCCGTCGACATATATACAGAACACATGATGGAGGAGAGCAGATGACACCCCAGATCGTTTCGGCGAAACAAAAGAAAACATGGTTCTCGAGGTGGATATCCTTTGGCCGCGTTGGGAGCGAGGATTGGTGTAACCCGAGCCACGGAGGCGTGTTTTCTGACGGCCGACCGTCAGTGCACGGAGTTGCCCCTTCTCCGACTGCCCCGGCTAGTTCACGGGTTTCGCGGGAGTGACCCCATGCGTCAAACCCGAGACCTAGCGCGGGTGGGTTGGAGGGGGCTCGCCCCGTTCCTCCCCATCGGGCCGCATGTGCGGCCACGCCTCGCAGATTCGTTTCTCGCGCCTGGGTCAGGCGCGCGGGGCATCCCCCGGGTACGTCGACGAGCTAGCTGCTCGCGGCAGGCAAGGTGACAGAGGCTCAAACGCTGCCGAGTGGGCGGACAACACCATCCCGACGGACACTCCCGACGAGGGGAGCGACACGGAAGGACCCGCCCCCGCCCCTCGGGGCGGGGGCCCCCGCCCCCCGGGGGGCCCTTTGGGGCCCCTCCAGGGGGCGACCCCTCCGGGGAGGCCGGCCCTCCCCGTGCCGGTTCTCCCCAACCAACCCCGCCGGCAGCGCGAGCTGCCGGCCATATTGAGCGGTTCATCCGCGTCGCGCACTCGTCCCAACCGAGACTCGTTCTGCGCGCCAACGGCTGGTGACGCTGTGATGCCCTTGAGCTAGTCCTTCCCCGGTCGCCTAGCCTCTGCGCTGTCTGGCGGACGCCTGTATGCCATGCGCGCGGACCACGCTTGCGTGGGTACGTGGCTGGCAGGCTGACCCGTGTGCGGGGTAACCCGCGCACGGGGAAGCTTCACGGGTTCGAGCCGTCAAACATTGAGCAGCGGAGGTGTGCCGAGGGGGACCGGGAGGCGGTAAGTCGTCGTCGCCCGGCGCTGCTTGCAGCACCATGGCGATGGCGCTAAGAGGTTCCTCTTTTCCGCGCCCCCCCCCGCAAGGCGCGCGATACACACCCACGGCGAACACGCCGAGCCGCAGGGTTTCGAGGTCAAATTTTGAACTTGCCCGAGACGGCCCGCAAATGGCCCCGAGTTGTTGCCCCGGTGCAGGCGCATCACACCTCAGCCTCGAGGGGCCGGTTCCGCCGCGCAGTCGAGCAGCAGGAGCTCGGGCACAACTTTGTCGACAAACAAGTGGGCAAAATTTCGGCGAAGAAGCGGCACCGGCGGCACGCCGGGATGAACCCGGACCGGTAACATTGTTCAGATCCGCGGCGGCGAGCCGCCGCGAGCCCACAGGAGAGCTGGGAGCCGCGGCACTAGCCCGCGCCGCTAGCGAGGCGAGAGCAGCAGCCGACGACCGTCCGACATGGCAGTTGCAGCGGCGGGAGTAGAAGCGCGCACCAACGAGAGCGAAGCTTGAGCACTTGAGCACTGGATAGGGTCGATTCCGCATGGTACGGGACCCCTCGATCGTCTCGCCCTCCCTCACTGGTGTGTTCATGGGGGGGGGGTCATAACAAACACGGTACAGGATGATCCTGAGGTGCACGCTGCCGAGGCAGTGTCGTCCCCCCTCTCCCCGACGGCGATGGCGGTGTGACCGATCGAGCTACAAGAAGCTCTACACTTACCACTTGTACGTCTTCCGGCTTTTACAACGCAAACAGAAAGAAAGAAAACAGACAGCGGATGCTAGGCACGCCGCCACCACACATGGATTTTAAGGAGAGGAGTGTGCGGTGCTAGCCGTCGCCCACCCTTGGGCGTCGCAGGCTTGTTTTCTTCTTTCACGGCGTCGAGCTCAAAGCTTGCTCGGTGGCTGCTCCCTCCCGCTCGCAGGTGCGCCTCGCCCCCCGACTCCGCCGGCCCCTCGACGCAAGACAACCTTCATCACCGGCAAGATATGCGGGCTTTTGTTTTCGCCGCCCTGCCCGCGTTCGCTGCGGGATTCGGTTCGGTGGCGAAGGCCGAGTGCGCAGAGGTTGCGCCCGCTTTGTGGGCCCAGATTGACTTTGAGGAGTACACGCGCGCGACGTGGTATTCGCAGGCGCAGGAGCCAAACTCGTACCAGACGGTCGATGAGCTCTTCTGCATCACTGCCACGTGAGCGAGCGCGCACCGCCCTCGCCCACACATCCCACCACATCTCACATCTCACCCTCGCCCCTCGCCCCTTGCGCAGGTACAAGCTTGAGGGACTTCAGGTGCCCGGTGGTGGCGCGGGTCCGCCGGCGGGCGTGATGGCTGGCCTTCCGCCGGCGGGCGCTCCTGGTGGGCCCTCCTGGGACGGCCTCGTCATCTCCGTGTACAACCAGGCGAACCAGGGGGCGGTGAACGGGCCGATCGCCAACCCACTGACGATGCCGAACGGTGCCCCCTCCCCGGTCAACCCCATCTGCGCGCGCCTGATTGACCCGCCGACGAACAAGCTTGCCGTCGCGCCGTGCTTCCTCCCGAACGGCCTCGCGGGGCCGTACTGGCCCGTGATCCTCAAGGCAGACGAGCAGGGACGGTACACGGCGGCTGCGGTCATCGGCGGCCAGCCGACGGTGCCGCAGGGCGACGGCGGCTGCTCGCTTCCGCAGGTGGACGCAGCCGACTTTGACGGCGTCGGCGGCAACGAGGGGCTGTGGATCCTCACGCGCGAGCCGAACCCGCCCGCCAGCCTCGTCGAGGAGATGAAGGCAGAGCTCCTCTCTCTCGGCATCTCGGTGGCCAACATGCTCGACGTCTCGCAAGAGGGCTGCTCGTATGAGGGGTACGACATCAAGGCGTTATCTTCTGCTTCTATTCCATTTGTTTTTCCGACTATTGACTGGTGAGCACCTCAGGGCTGCTGCGTGACGCGTGGCTCGGCTCCTCGAGCGCTTGTAAATTTTCTGTGATCTTTGTACGAACAGCACTTGTGGGAGTTCGACGGCATTCGCGGTGACCGATTTCGTTCATGTATTCTTTTTGAGAGCGCATGCTCGTAGTTTTTCTTTTTTGCTTGGCCAATCCAGTGTTTGCTCGACCTCGACGATGGGCTGCTCGTCGAGCAAGCCGGACGCTACGGCCGCGCAGAAGCAGGCTGGAGATCCGGAGCAGGCTGGGCCTCCGGATGCGGATACCAAGGACACCAGGGCGGCGGCTGCAAAGGATGCCTTCGCGACTGTCGACAAGTCAGGAGACGGTAAGGTCTCGATGCCCGAGGCGAAGAAGGCGCTCGAGGCAACCTTCCCAAAGCTCGGTAAGTATGTCGCCAAGGCCTTTTTTCCGCGGAGGCGTGCTGCGTTATTTTTTATCTTCGGGGCTGTGTGTGCGCCCGCGGCGTCATCGACTCATGGTGGCGACGCGGCGCGGCACGCCGAGCGCGGAGCCGGCCGCGAGCGCGGAGCCGGCCGCGAGCGCCGCTGCGCCGGCGCCGCCGGCGCAGGAGATCGGCCTGCTCGTCGCTCCGCTGCGCACGCTCTCTCTCTTTGCCTCGGGCGCGGCGGAGCTGGCGCTATCGGCCTTCGCGACGGCGGCGGTGCACCCCGCGATGCTGTTTGCGGGCTATCCGCTGCTCCTCGGCTGGCTCGCCACCCACCTCGCCGCGCCTCACCTCTACGCGCCGCCCACGTGCCACGGCTTTGAGTCGCACGCGCCGGCTGCGGCTGGCGGCGCTCTCTACCTGCCGTCGCTGTACGCGTACGAGTTTGCGTGGTGGCTGGTGCTCGGCATCCTCTCCTCCATCGGCTTCGGCTCCGGCCTCCACTCCGGCATCATGTTCCTCTGGCCCTTTGTCATGCGCGTGGTGTCGCAGGCGCAGCGCCCTGTCCCACGCCTCGCCTCGCCTCGACTCACCGCCCTCCTCCTCCCCTCCCGCTGCCTGCCCAGCCCGCCTCCGCCGCGCCCCGACCGCGCCTCCCGTCGCCGCCAGCCGCGCCTCCCCGTGCGCCGCATGCTACTCGCCACACACTCCACACGCCTCTCCACCGCCCCTCGCCCGCCCCTCGCCCGCCCCTCTCTTCTGCAGGCAGAGATCCAGGGCTCGACCCGCTTCAACGCCGTCTTCAACCACCCGTGCCGCGCCTCGCGCCGCGGGGCGCACCTCCCCGAGGGCACGCCCGCAACGCGCCCCGCATGCGCCCCGCAGGTGCCTCTTCGAGCCCCACGGATCGCCCGGCGACGGCACCGACACATTCTTCAACAAGCTGCTGCTCTGCTGGCCCGCCGTCATTGTGACACTCCCTAGACACTCCCTAGACACTCCCTAGACACTCCCTAGACACTCCCTAGACACTCCCTAGACACTCCCTAGACACTTCCTAGACATACTTCCCAGACATTCTTCAGCAAACTGCTCGTCATTGTGGGACGCGCCCGCCGCCGCCCGCGCAGCACGCCGCGCGCCGCACGCCTCCTCCTCCCGCCTTCCGCCTCCGGCCTCCCACCTTTCTCCCCCCTTCCCCGACCTCCCCTCTCCCCTCCCTCCCCCGCCGCAGGTCTGGGGCGCGGGCACCGCAGTGGGCCAGCTGCCGCCGCCGCTCTATGCGACGCCTTCCAGTAGCCTTCCATGAGCCTTCTCTGAGCCGTCCCCCAAAGGCGGCCGTCCTATACTCCGTGGCGCGGACGCGCGAGCGGCGCCTCTTCACTGCCGCCGCTGCGAGCAGGCGAGCTGCCGCCCTACTTTGTGACGCGCGCGGCGAAGCGCGCGGGCGAGCGGGCTGGCGAGTTCGATGCGGAGCTCGAAGAGGCGCGGCGCTGCAGAGACGCGGCCGAGATGCGGGAGAGATGCGGCCGTGATGCGGCCGAGTGCGGGAGGGATGCGGGAGAGATGCGGGGCAGATTCGGCAGATGCGCAACAGAGGTGAAGCAGCGGTCAGGCAGAGGTGCAGGCGAGGTTGGAGGAGCGGGACGGGCAGGACGGGCCTCCCCGGCGCGTCACGTTCTTTGGACGCGTCCTCGACGTGTCCACGGCATGGCCCTGCAGGCGATGGGCAGGACGGACCTCGTCTCGCGCATCAAGGTGTGTCTAGGAAGTGTCTAGGAAGTGTCTAGGAAGTGTCTAGGAAGTGTCTAGGACGGACCTCGTCTTGCGCATCAAGGTGCGCGCGGCGCCGCCAACGCGGGCCGGACGCGCCCGCTGGCACGCCCGCCCACGGGCCGCGCCGCCCGCCCGCGACCCAGGTGTGGACGATTGACTTCACGCGGCGGAACGGCTTCCTCGGCATCCGTCCTCGCCTCGCGGCGGAGACGCCTGACACGCTCCTCTGTCTCCGGTCACACACCTCTTTTCTGCGCAGGCATCTTTCTGCTCGCCTCGTGGCCGAACGCCGCTTTCGACATGTGCGGCATGGCGTGCGGCTGGCTCGAGATGCCGTTCTGGACATTCTTCGGTGGCACGGGCCCGGGAGAGAGCGAGATCTGGCGCAAGAGACCCAATCTAGAGCCGCGCGCACGCCCCCGCGGGATGGAGCTTGCACTGCACATGCACATGCACGTGCGTGTGCTCCTCTTGTCTGCCAGGCGCCACGCTCCTCGGCAAGTCGGTCGTCAAGACGACGCTGCAGACCTCGGCCCGCCTCCGGCCCCGCCTCGCCCTTCCCCCCCCCCCCCC